GCCTTAGCCGGTTGAGCCATAGGCGCCGAGCCTATTCTGGTGTTTATTATAGTATTCTGTTTCTACCATTTTTTATGTTATCTAGCTTTAATTATTTTGCTGTTTTATTTAATAACTATCTTATCAAAGGAAAGTAAGAAAACATTTGTTAAGTTTCTACCAGTTTTTAAACCTATTAAGAAGTCATTGTGAAAATTAATGTATAAAATTAGGTTTGGTGAGATTCTTTAATCCAAAATATCCATAGAGTATCTGTGATAGCACGGATGTTGGTATAAAGTCTATTGGTCTTTCTGGAGTTACTTTCTTTGTGGATTTGAGAATATTTTCTTTTTATTTTCTTTTTTTAGAATAAGACAATACATGGCACATGCATTAGATCTCAGAATACATCAGTCACTGGGCATTTATTCAAAGCTTCTACTGCTTTTCTGTTTTTTGTTTTCTTTTGTTTTTTAAGAGGAGACTACATCAACCAAAGCAAAGTAAGTATCCATGGTGTTTGCTTGTGCTTACCATATCAATGATGTACAAAATTTGGACAATTAAGTTTGCAAACTCATCCTAGAAAAAGTGCTATATCCTTCATTGCTGAGTATCACTTCAGTCACCAGCTGGCCAAGGGGAGCACTTCGAAGATGACTGCAGTCATATTCAGCAGTGAGGTCTGTAGTACTTTTTCTAGGATGAGTTCTTGAACTTGATTGTCTGACCTCATGTAACTTCAAGACTAACAAAGATTCGTTTTTTGCCAAAGAGAAAGGAATATGTTCTTAAAGTCTTTCCATAAAAGACTCTTCAAGGTATAGAGTTAGAAGCAACAAAAATTATTAGAATGGAGAATTACATGTTTCCTCTCCATCCCTCTGAAAGGTGAGTCATAGCCTCTTAAAGCAGCTTTCTCTAATGTTGGACAACTCCAGGAATTAGAAAGTTCCTTCCTAGTTCTGCTTTCTGGAGTAGCTCATAACACTTCTGCTTCATCTTCATCAGTATTTTTTAAAAGGCTTACCAAACAAATTTGGAATTAGAGATCCAGGACCCATATCATGCTCATGCTGCTAGGTTGTAGTTTGAACCACCATGTTAACAATTAGAATCTTTATAAAGAAAGACACCTTCAGACAACCTTGCTTCCCAATAAGTATACCACAAAAAAGTAAAATAACTCTACTTGTTTTGAGGCTCGAGACCATAATTTTCATGGTTGAACCACTTATTCATCTGTTCTTGCATCATCCACTTTACAACTGTCCGTGGCAGGATGTTTCGGAGCATGGATTTAAATCGGGTGTGGAACACCTGGTCCCAAGGATAGCCATCTTCAGAGATTCGGCTTAGGACCCAGGCACCATGCCTGGTGCTGATAAAAACCTAGTTAGTGAAAAAGAATGCAGTTCAAATTAGGGCATTGTCCCTTTGTGTGTGATAATTCTGAGTGTAGCCCCAGAATTTACTGAGGTTCTATTTTAAAGATAATCGATCTCAAATACTCTCTGAAATACTCCCTAAAAGGTGTGTACCCAGTGACATTTACACCAATAAGTTTCTTTTATAGTGCAGGTGAATGATTATAATTCTTGGAAATGTATGATTATAACTTAGGGACTGTGCAAGCAGAAATGTACACGTCTATATAATCCTGGAGGGAGAGTAACAAGGGAAATCACCTTCCCTCCATACTTAAGAGAACTTTGTTATGTCTTTTAAAAGCTAAAAACTTTGAATATATACTGTGATTCCCTTTCTCTTAACATGTACATCTAAGTTTCCTTTCAGATGTATTCTTTACCTTATTTATTAAGACTTCCCTTCCCTTCCCTTCCCTTCCCTGAGACAGAGCCTTACTCTGTCACCCTGTTCAGAGTGCTGTGGCATCAGAGCTCACAGGATCCTCAAACTCTTGGGCTCAAGTGATCCTCCTGCCTCAGCCTCCCAAGTAGCTGGGATTAAAGGTGCCTGCCACAACGCCCTGCTATTTTTTCTATTCTTAGTAGAGATGGGATCTCACTCTTGCTCAGGCTGGTCTCAAACTCCTGACATCAAGCAATCCTCCTGCCCCAGCCTTCCAGAGTGCTAGGATTACAGGCGTGTCCCACTGAGCCTGGCTTCTCTTGTTTTCTTTTTTTTTGGGGGGACAGAGCCTCAAGCTATCCCCCTGGGTAGGGTGCCATGGCATCACGCTCATAGCAACCTCCAACTCCTGGGCTCAAGCGAGTCTCCCGCCTCAGCCTCCCAAGTAGCTGGGACTACAGGCGCCCGCCACAGCACCCGGCCATTTTTTTGTTGCAGCCGTCAATGTAGTTTGGCGGGCCCGGGCTGGGGATTCTAACCCGCCACCTTAGGTGTATGTGGCTGGTGCCTTAGCCGCTTGATCCACAGGCGCTGAGCCGCTTCTCTTGTTTTCAAAATGTATATTTAAATATCTTCTCAGGAATATTATTCTCCCATTATCCAAATGCATGTTTGAATTATTTATCAGTTTTTACATAACATTAGATGAGTTTTATTGTTTAAGGCTTGAAACAACACATAAGATTCACTTGCAAGGAAACCAATTCACTTTAGAGGTTAAGATCATGTACTCTGGATCCAGACTGCCTGGGTTTGAATCTCAGTCCCTCTACTTACTAGCTGTGTTGCCTTGAGTGAGTTATTTCAATTTCTCTGTGCCTCACTTTCTCTCTCTGTAAAATGATGGTAATAACAGTGCCTACCTCATGGTATTATTATGCAGATTATAATATTTATTATATATATAAAATTATATATAAACATATAAATTCTATATAATATATATATAAATTCTATTGTAAAATTATGTAAAAAATACTTAGAATATTGCCTGATAAGTGCTACTAGCCGTTATTATTTTGTAAATTTAGGCTGGAGAAGAGGAGTTTCATATAGTACCTCCCATATGGAGTAAGCCAGAATTTGGAGACAAATTGTGTGGGGAAGGGCCTTAACGCCTTAGCTCGTGAAGGAGCACTTACGCCAAACCTTCCTGTGTTGCTGGTCCACATGTGGTATATTCTGAATTTTCCCGGCTGTTCCCCCTATGCTGGCTTCACCTTGATTTGGTTAGGTGACAAGCTGTACTCACATAGTCCCATTAGTGTCCCTTTCCATTGCTTCCCCCTTCTTCTTTAGGATCAACCCGTATTTCAACTTGGATGCTCTGCCTGTTTTGTTTACTCTCTTTTTGCTCTGACCTTTCCCTGGCTGGTGAGTCTAACCTGGCTAGCTCCACAGGCTGCCACCTTGAGATGCACCTGGGGATTTGGGCTCCGCCTGCTTTCTCTGAGAGGCATGCCTCGGGCCAACCGCCAGAGATCTGGGTTTGGGTGGGCAATGTGTGGCTGACCCAGAGTATCTTGAGTGGTGCTTTTGGACTATAGCAGAGGGGGGCCGTATCCTTATGAAAGTGAATTTTGTTTCATAAAGCAGGGCACACTCGGAGTTTCCATCAGTTCAGTGTGTAATTCCCAGCACTGCACGTGCACCTGGTTCTGTCCCTTGCATACATAGTTCCTGTAAAGCCTCTGTGAGTCTTTTTGCAGAAGCTTTGAGAGTGTATTACTCTGTGTAAAAGGTGTTGTCATAATTGTTGATTTTTTTTTATTAAATCATAGCTGTGCACATTAAAGGGTACATGTGAATCTTTCTTTTTTTTTTTT